CTTAATAAAATGTGTCAATCAAATCAGGAATTTATGTTGAGCTGCATTTAAGTTATGGCCATGGAGGGCCAGGAGTTAGCTCAGTGGCAGAGCACTTACCCAGTACCTGGGAGTGGGTGTGGAGACCCCGGGACAAAAAAGGAATAAGGTAGGGACTATGTCAATGGCAGAATCAACAGATGAATTGAGCAAAAGAGAAACAGTGAAAGCAATACCAGAGAAAGAAGAAGAAAGGATAAGGGGAAGTCCTGGCAGTACTAATTTCTTTCATGGTCAGTGACAGACCCTGCCCCCAAAGAGAAAGGTGGAGCCCTGAGGAAGAAACCCCATGGCAACCTCTGGTACCCATCAGGATCCCCCCTCCCACTCCCATTCTCTTACCTGTCAGGGCTTTAGAGAAAAGAAATGTGCTGGCCCACTCTAAGACACAGAACACATAGTAAGGAGACAGGCTTCCCAATTTTAACTTGCCGAGTCACTTCAGAGTGTAGTATGTTTAAGTTGCTTTTGTAAAAGGAAGCTTGGTCTTCGTAGAGGGACCTCTTGCAATTCGGTGTAAAATCTACAATGTTCTTGTTGTTGACATGGCTCACAGTGCCCTCCGAACAGGAGTGAGCTTCCTGCCATGACTCTGGACATCCTTTTTGAAACAGACCTTCTGACCTAGAAGGCTGCTGAGACCTTTCGGGATAGTTGAACAGTAGATAAAAATCTCCAGGGAAGTAGGTGTGGGCAGGATGTGTGGTTTCCCTGCCTCTCGTCTGAAGGTTGGTTCAGTTCATTTGGCATGCATGGTGTCTTAGACTAAAAAGGTTCATTCCGGAGTGTTCCAAGAGAAACACAAAAGAACAAGCTACCTATTCATCTTCATTTCAAGTTGAAACTAGAACATTCTTCCTCAACGGTATAACAAGGCCCAGTAGGGAAACCGTGTCCCTTACTATAACCCCAAATCAGCCACCTTTGCCAGTGCAACTGGCATCTGTAAGAGGAACATACGTGGGGCATGCACTTGTTTACCGAATAATCTAGAACAAGCAGGGAGACCTGCTAACAAGCGTCTTACCTTGGCTCTGAGTGTGCCCAGCAGACTGAATGCGGGGAAGAATTTCTTAGCTTTCAGTGATACACCACACAGCACAGACTCTTTCCCTGACACAGCAGGCTAGTCACTAGTAGGCGCTGCAAACATCTGGGACATACATACATTTCTGCAGGGGAGGGGGAATACGATGCCTTTTGTATACTTCTCCCTGGTCTGAAACCCCTTGCAATAGGAATCTGTGGGAAGCTGCTGTACAGTATTGATCAATGAGACTGAATGCAGCCACCTTACCCACAGCCACTTAGAAACCAAGTACCCAGAGAGAAGGATTCTAATATGAAAATGTGCACACTGAAAATTTTCACACTGCTGTCACTGAAGAGTATCATTTTCACTCTAGCACAGTGGAAGCTCATTTCATCTCTGACCCTAGTTAAGCTACAGTTACCTAGTGCTCGATATTCTGGGTCAAGAGGGCAGTGTGAAAAGCAAAGCTAGCGCCTGACATTCAAGGACTAAACTCAAAGCAAGTAAGCCATTGGTTGGCTGCCCCAAGGCCACCAACAGTAGAGAAAAAGGTTACTCACTGTCCAAGGTGGCTTCCAGCAAGTGTGCTTGAGCCAAGCCAAAGAAAAGATACTAGTGACAGCTGTGCCTATACCGTTCAATTCAGGGAAGAAGCCTGCTGGGAGAATAGGAAAGCCCACATCAGCCTCAGCATTGCAGGATTTTTTTTGTTTGTTTGTTTTTGTTTTTGTTTTCAGTAATGGATGGGGACTGCTTAGGATCTCACCCATGCCAGGGAAACACTCTATCATGAAGAGATATCTTCTTTATTTGGATAAAAGAATTTTCTAAGTTTCCCAGGCTAGCCTTGAATTTACTCTCTAGTCAAGGTAGGCCTGGAACTTTTCATCTTCTTGCCTCAGCTTCCTGAAAAGCTTCCATTACAGGCTTTCACCAACAGGTCTGGTCAGCCTTACATCACCAATTTTACACCATCCTGGGTAGTCATCACACCTGTTTTTAATACAACCCAGTATCTTTATTAACAGTTTCCATTTCTCTTGGGGAGAGGTTTCCATTTCCTAATTTGCTTGTACATGGATTGCAAGTTGCTATGGTGTATGTATGGAGGTCAGGAGACAACTCAAAAAAATCAGTTCTCTCCTTTTACCACATGGGTCTTGGGGATTGAACTTGTAGTTAAGATAGTGGCAGGCACCTGCTCAGGCATCTTGTTGGCCATTCCTATTTCTTTATCAAATTTATATCATACTAATACAACAGAATATTAAGACCTCAAGATCCAGTTATACCACTCCTAGGCATATATCCAAAAATTGCTCAAGTACACAAGGACATTTGCTCAACCATGTTTGTAGCAGCTTTATTTGTAATAGCCAGAAGCTGGAAACAACCCAGATGCCCCTCAGTTGAGAAATGGATACAGAAATTGTGGTACATCTACAGAGTGGAATATTACTCAGCAATCAAAAACAAGGAAATCATGAAATTTGCAGGCAAATGGTGGGAACTGGAAAAGATCATCCTGAGGTATCCCAGAAGCAGAAAGACAACACAGGGTATATACTCACTCATAAGTGGATATTAGATATGTAATATAAGATAAACATACTAAAATCTGTACACCTAAAGAAACTAATCAAAAAGGAAGACTCTGGCTAAGTAGCTCAATCCCCATTCTGAAAGGCAAAGAGAATGTACATCAGAAGAGGGAGAAAACATACCTCAGAGGGCCTCTGAATGGCTCTACCCTGCAGGGTATCAGAGCAGAAGCTGAGCCTTATAGCCAACTCTGGGTGGAGTGCAGGGAACCTTATGAAAGAATGGGGACATAGTAAGACCTGGAGAGGACAGGAGCTCCACAAGGAGAGCAACAGAACCAAGAAATCTGGGCACAGGGGTCTTTTCTGAGACTGATACTCCAACCAAGGACCACTCATGGAGATAACCTAGAACCCCTGCACAGATGTAGCCCATGGCAATTCAGTGTCCAAGTGGGTTCCATAGTAATGAGAACAGGGACTGTCTCTGACATGAACTGATTGGCCTGCTCTTTGATCACCTCCCCCTGAGTGGGGAGCAGCCTTACCAGGCCACAGAGGAAGACAATGTAGCCACTCCTGATGAGACCTGATAGACTAGGATGAGAAGGAATGAGAGGAGAAACTCCCCTATCAATGGACTTGGCGAGGGACATGGGTGAAGAAGGAGGAAGGAGGGTGGAATTGGGAGGGGAGAAGGGGATACAAAGTGAATAAACTGTAATTGATTAAAAAAAAACCCCTATAAATTCAAGTACTATACATAAATGCCTTTGCAATTTTTTGTGGCTTTGCTAAGGAAGCAGCACTAAGAGTCAGGAGACCAACATTCCTGGCCATTGAGAAACTTCTTTATCACAGACAATGATCTGTTAGGGGCACAGACTGAAGCAGCACCAGCTATATAATCTGTGAAGTCTAAAGTGTAAGTTCCTGTTTAAATTAAGCAAGATGCTTGAAGGTGGAGCTGAGGCAAGTATTCTAACGAGGTGGGAGATCCTTGATTTAATTTCTAGCACCAGAAAGTAGCAACAGCAGCAGCAACAATAAAAACAAATAATAATAGAAATAAAAATTACACACAAAAAATTAAAGCTTGAAGGCAGAATGTGGAAACCCTCCCAAGTATGGCATGGGCCACCTACTCATGAAATCGGTCTCACTCTCAAGCAGGCCTACTCAGGTTTGGATCTGTCTTTGTCATTTCCTAGTCATGTGATCCTGGACGAGTCATCTACAAGACAGGGACAGTAAGAGTCTCTACCTCATGGAATCCTTCCAGGTTGAATTAGGTATTATCTGAAAAGTGCTTAAAATACCTGGTATACAGCAAGCAGTACCTAAATGTTTATGAATACATTTTCTACTAAGCAGGCATAAAAATTTCAAAAAGGGGGCTGGAGAGATGGCTCAGAGGTTAAGAGCACTGACTCCTCTTTCAGAGGACCTGAGTTCAATTCCCAGCAACCACATGGTGGCTCACAACCAGCTATAATGAGATCTGGTGCCCTCTTCTAGAGTGCAGGTGTATACAAAACACCTGTATACATTGTATACATAATAAATAAAACATTGATACATAATAAATAAATCTTTAAAGAAAAAGAAAAAAAAAGAATTTCAAAAAGGTAGAAACAATTACAGCCATTGGAAATAAATTTATTTCCAACGTTTTTTTTTTTTTTTTGTTTTGTTTTGTTTTTTTTTTTTGTTTTAATGTTTGAGAATTTAGATTCCAAACAGATAGAATCATGCTTTTAATACTATGACACTGGTCACCTTTTAATATATTTTAACTGAACAAATTTTAAAATATATCCTGGATACAGGCCAACAACACAATAAGCAAGACTGAAGACTGAAGAAAGACACTTTTTATGGTCAGTGATCTGGAAGTCTGTGTAGTTTACCAAACTGCTCCCTTTATGCTGAGTTAGCTCAGGCTTCCTTTATGCTGAGATAGTTCACTGGGGACATCCTTGCTTCCACGGAAGGACTAAAGCCTGACATGGCTGAACACAACCAAAGGAATGCCTTGTTCTTTATCTCCCCCTCTTTCCTCACTTCCCTGTCCCTAGCTCCTTATGTAGTCCAGGCTGGCCTCAAACTTGCTAGGTAGCCAAGGATACCTGTAAACTCCTGATCCTCCTCCCTCTACTTCCTGAGTGTGGGATACATACTAGAACGACAATACTTCCCCCAAACCTGCCTTATCCTGTTCTTTTCTTTTTATAATGTAGAACACTTGTTTTATTTAAAGCTGTAAAGCAGGAAGTGTTACTAAACATACACACTCTATATTTAGGTCGGAAAAAAAAAAAAAAAACCAACCAAAAACAAAAGAAACAAAAACCCACGGCTACAAGAGTCTAAAGAAAAGCTGCGAGTAGTGTTATATATTTTTATTTAGAAAAATATTTTGGTGTCCAGACATAGCTATTTGGGTGGCACCATGTGCCATGTTTGTCTTTTTTCATTGAATTATTTGCATACTTTAAATTCTTCACCACTAGTAATTCGTTAGGCTTTTGAAAAACTACAATAAAGATGGTACAGTAAATATAAATCTCAAGACTCAGGGTTGCCATTTGTCAAACAATTCGCCCCAGGTACACAGACTTGGGGTACTTCTCCTTAAGAGCTGGCCACTGAACAATAAAGTAATGGGAGAGATGAAACAGAATCTTTCCAGACAGGGATAAAGTTTCCACTCTGCAGATGCTCTCAACGTAGACAATGATCACTTTCTTTATTCCAAGTATCCCAAGGAGCAGGGCAGACACGCAGATGGGAACACATGTTCCTGGTCCATTACACAGCACCTTAAAAAAAAAAAAAAAAAAAAAAAGGCCAAATTAAAATATAGACTAGTGACTTCAGTGGACCATTCTTGGAGGGAGATTTATTAATCCAGTTGAGCCTTTCTTGTTAAGAACACAGATGTGACAGTGTGTACTGAAGGCAATGTACCCACAAGTCATGTGCAGCTTTGATGTCTTGGCTCTCTTGTTTTCCAGCTGTGTGACTTGGGCGAATCACCTCCCTCCCACCCCACTCTTCTCTGTCTCTGTCTCTCTGTGGGGCGTATGCTCACTTAAAGGTGTGCATATAAAGGCCACAGGCTAGAGGTTGACATTGGGAGTCTTCTTTTATTGCTCTCCACTTTATTTTTTTGAGACAGGATTTTTTTTTTTTAAATCCAGGGCTCACCACTTTGGTTAAGTGGCTGGCTTGCCCTGGAGTCCTGTATCTGTCTTGTTCCACTCAGAAATGCAGGGCTGCAGATTCCTGTGGCTTCTATGTAGGTACTGCGGATCCAAACTCAGGTCTTCATGCTGTGGAGCAGGCACTTACCTACTAAGCCATCTCTCCAGCTCCACCTCCTAACACAGTGGTTAGTGATTACTCAGTACTAACTGTATGGAGGATTTCTACCCTTCTCCAAACCTTACGAACCTTCAGTGTCTCACACTACAGATAAAACAAAAGCAGACAAATTCCTAAGATCCATCAGTTTTCTTTCTTCTACTTATATAAGTAGAAAGAAATCTTCCAATGACCATGATGTAGTATCTCTTGGGGCTCCAGCCTGACAAACAGGACAAACAGACCACGTGAATAAAGGGGTTTTTGTTTGTTTGGTTTTGGTTTTTCCCCCTTAACATAACTGAATTTGTGCTTGTAATACAGGAGAACTTTAGTATTTCTGGGATTCTGCTAATATTTACAGAAAGCCACCAATTTTAGTGGTCTTTGAAGAAATGGGAAGAATCTTATTTCATTGACTTATTAGTAAGATAATTTATTACTATTTAAGAGGGAAAGTGTTATATGAAGTATCTTTCTCATATGCTCATATTGACTGAATTAGAAAAACCCAATAAATCATTTTACTCCACAACTACAAAACAGGAGGCTTGTAGTTGTCTACACATGCCTAGCAGTATGTACAATGTCACGTGATCCTTCCAAACCCAAATCCATGAAGCATCAGACTCTTCCAGTGGGATGGGTCTTCAGACACAGGGTTGAGCTTCTTTGCACACAGGGACTCTCACACAGATGAGCAGCCTGCCATGGGCAAACATGGCAAAGGTTGCAAGAGTTAGATAAAAATCATCTTGCCTAGCTCCATCCTTCCTGCACGTATGAGCATTTAGACACTACTCACAGAGCTCTGCTCTGCCTATTCTCAGATGGGATCCATCTTTTTCGTAGCTTTCTGATGTGTTCTTCCTATAACTTAAATGGGTTGTCCTTCATGGAGAATTTTTCACTTAGGCTACCTCTTAGGTTAGCAGTGACTAAGCGGCACCAGAGTCCAGCCTTTTATCTCCATTAGCTTAAGAGACCCTCAAAACAGTATACTGCAAACAACACAGGCCAGAGCTGGGGTGGAAGAGACACATAGGCTGCGGGCAGACCAAGATGGGCAACTGCAGTGGACCTCATCACCACTATTAGCGACTCACCGTGGCCACAGGCCACTCGGAACATTTAAAGCTATACACATCTAAGTGTAACACATGTAGAATGCTTTAAATATGCTTTAAATATTACTCATAGTGTAATATGAGGGGAGTTTAACTATCCTTTCTTGTAGATAAGAAGTCAATTCGCTTGATCTCAGGGCTAGGGAGTAGAGAGGTTAAATGGCTTCAGGCTACGGTTTTTTTCGTTTATCTTCCTAACTTAAAAACACGAAACGAGGCTAAGTGATTTGCAGGCCCCACGACCCCAGTTTTCCTCTTGTTTGATACCTATAAACTCACTCTGACTCCTTTCCCAGTGTTGGAGTGCCCACCTCCCAGTTGTGGGGCCAGCCCTGGGCATCACAGGGTGGCCAGCTGGATCCTTGGCCTCTGTCCACAAGATTCCTGTAGTCAAGACAACCAAGAAGGACCCCAAGCACTGCCACGTCTGTCTAGGTAACAGCTTCTGTATTAAAATATATCTAATCCTTGGATTGTTTTCCTCAATCTTAAAACTAAAGTTACAGCTTGCTGGAATTTGAGTGGCACAAAACATTCTTTTAAAAAAAGATATAGCCACATGTGTTCACTTCAACGTCTAGCTGACTCTTTATATGAGCGATATACGAATGTAAATGAGCAGATGCTGGTGAGAGATGACTAAACAAGCTGCCATAGACAGGAATGAGAGGCTGGTGAAAGTGGAAACCACAGTGTTTTGTTTGTTTCTCGACAGTCCGTATTGCCGTACGCCAAAGCGCCTTACCGTAAAAGTACAGGTATAGAAAAACTACAAAATCATGAATCAACAAGTTGGAGGGAAGCATGATACAGCCTGTGAAAGGCCCTGGCTTTGATGTCCAGCCCGGGGTAAGGGGGGTAAAGGGAAATTGGGGGGAGGGAAGGCACAATAGTCTCCAGGAAAATCACTTTTAATTAAACTGATTTTAATTCTAGCATCAGCCTAGAATTTTTTTTTTTTTTTACAATGTGGATTATGACTTTATTATTCTAAGAAGCATTCCAGAGAGACTTATTCCACGCATTGAAGAAAAAAAAAAAAAAAAAGCCAGCAAGAAGCTTTGTGTTAAACAAGTTTAATGCAATGACTGAAAACACAAATCCTCAGTGTGTGCTGTATCCCTGGCCTGGCTGTCTCTTGGCTTACTTCAAAGGCAATCTACAGTCTGCAACTGAACAGAGTTGCCTACAAGGAAGAGGAGGCAGGAGCAAGGGCTAAGGAAAGAAAGTGACTTTTCTCTGCTCCCCTCTGGACTGTCCACCTGAGCTTGAATGCTTGAATGTGGTTGGCTAATAGCTGTCACCAATAGGCTTTCTTTTTTTTTTTTTTCTTTTCCTTTCTTTTTTTTTTTAAGTTTTATTTTTCTCATTAGTTACATTTTGTTAATTCTGTATCCCAGCTGTATCCTTCCTTCCCTCCCCAGTCCCACCCTCCCTCCCTCATCTCCTCCCTGCCCCTTTCCAAGTCCACTGATAGGGGAGGACCTCCTCCCCTTTCATATGACTACGTTTTGTCAGGTATTTTCAGGACTGGCTGCAAAGTCCTCCTCTGTGGTCTAACAGTACTGCTCCTCCCTTGGGAGGTGGGAGGTCAAAGAGCCAGTCATTGAGTTCCTGTTAGAAATAGTCCTTGTTCCCTTTACTATGGGAAACCAATTGATTACTGAGCTATCACCAGTCACATCCGAGCAGAGGTTCTAGGTTTTATCCTCTTATGGTCTTTGGTTAAGTGTCCATCTCAGAAAAGACCCTGTGCCCAGATATGTTTGGTCCTTGTGGAGTTCCTATCCTTTCCACATCAAACTCCCCTTCTTTCGTATGATTCCCTGCACTCTGCCGAAATGGGACCTCATGAAACTGAAAAGCTTCTGCAAAGCAAAGGACACCGTCATCAAAACAAAACGACTGCCCACAGATTGGGAAAGAATCTTCACCAACCCTTTATCTGACAGAGGGCTAATATCAAGTATATACAAAGAACTAAAGAAGCTGAAAAGCAACAAACCAAGTAATCCAATTAAAAAATGGGGAGCAGAGCTAAACAGAGAATTCTCTGTAGAGGAATATAGAATGGCAGAGAAACACTTAAATGCTCAACATCATTAGCCATCAGGGAAATGCAAATCAAAACAACCCTGAGATTTCACCTTACACCCATCAGAATGGCCAAGATGAAAAACTCAAGTGACAACACATGCCGGAGAGGTTGTGGAGAAAGGGGAACCCTCCTCCATTGCTGGTGGGAATGTAAACTGGTACAACCACTTTGGAAGTCAATCTGGCGCTTTCTCAGACAACTAGGAATAGTGCTTCCTCAAGACCCAGCTATACCACTGCTAGGCATATACCCAAAATTTGCTCAAGTACATAATAAGGACATCTGCTCAACCATGTTTGTAGCAGCTTTATTTGTAATAGCCAGAACCTGGAAACAACCCAGATGTCCATCAATGGAGGAATGGGTATAGAAATTGTGGTATTTTTACACAATGGAATACTACTCAGCAATCAAAAAGGAGGAAATCATGAAATTTGCAGGCAAATGGTGGGATCTAGAAAAGATCATTCTGAGTGAAGTATCCCAGAAGGAGAAAGACAAACATGGAATATACTCGCTTATATAGACCTAAAAGATATGATAAACATAATGAAATCTATACACCTAAAGAAGATAATCAAGAAAGTGGACATGGGGTATGATGATCAATCCTCATTTAGAAAGACAAATGGGATATGCATTGAATGTATGACAGGAGTCTACCGCAGAAGGCATCTGAAAGACTCTACCTAGCAGTGTATCAAAGTAGATACTAAGACTCATAACCAATAGGCTTTTCATTTTCTTTCACACAATATATTTTGATCATGGTCATCCCTTCCCCTAAGACCTCCCAGACACTCTCCCTACTCACCCAACTTTGTTCTTTCTCTCTCTTTAAAAACAAAAAAAACAAACAACCCCCCCCAAAAAAAACAAAAACCAGAAACAAAAACTTCCCACAAAAATGAATCTCAAAGCAAACTAGCAAACGATAAAACAAACAACAAACAAAAAAGCCAAAACAAAGCAAAAATTTTACAAAAATACCATTGTGTAAGCAGCCTACATCTGCTTACCAGTCTATCCTCTGCTCTCAACTTAAGTATTTGAATGACTCTCCATCCAGCTATAAGGAAGGGACATGTGAATGCAGTCTGACCAGAGCACTGAATTCTTCTGCCAAATCCTTCTGGTTCAAGAGCACTGACAAGCAGAATCCGCCAGACTGGGGCATCTGAGGGGCCTGCTGACTGAGTGTGCCTTTTTCCTTTCCTTTTCTTTTCCCTTC